CCCTTTACAACTTTGTGGTGATTGTGTTGAGCAGTATAACTGAGTTCCACATGAAAAGGCCTTTGCTAATGAAGGAGACTTTCTAAGTTGTGCCATCAGTGGCACTTTGGCAGGGTGTAATAGTGTCCAGGTAAATGGCACTGGTAGGTCTCACGTTGGTCAAAGAGCAGGAGTTCTTGGGAGCTGCTCTGCCTTCTTCATCAAGAAGTGGAAGGTGCACTGAAGCTCACAGAGACCTCAATTCACATCCATGTTCATAGGCTCTTGTATCTCAGGACTAAGGCATGATTTACCCAGTTTGATCACCTAATACTAGTGCTTATCTAATAGAATTGGTAGTTGATTAACTGTGTATGTTTACTGGATTTTTTAGTTTCATTTTTCTAATTCCTTTTTAATAATGATTCTACACTAAAAACACCAAATGCTGGTGAACAGCAAAAATTTGCCATTCATTGCCAGTGGAAATGGAAGACACAGCACCCACTTTGGAAGACTGGCCGTTTCTTACACAAGTAAATATACTCTCAGCACATATCCATCAATCATGTTCCTTACTATTTGCTCAATTTGAGGTGAAAACGTGTGTCCACACAAACCTGTACGTGGATGCTTGCTATCACGTCAGTCATGACTGCCAAAACTAGGAACTCAATAAGGTGTCCTCCAGGAGTGCATTGGGTAAGCAAAGGGCATTTCAGTCAAGTTCATGTTATTTGTTACCAACAATGTTGCTCTATCGAGCCGTGAAAACATGTGGAAGAAGCACAAATGTATATTTCTAAGGAAAAAATCCAACTGATACCAGACCCGTCTTTGTCTCTTTCTAGCTGTAAATCTGACCATGTCCAAGGTTTCAGTGGAGAAGCCCAGGTGAGCTAGCCAAGGGCAGGCACGTGTCCCTGGCCCTCCTTCCAACTCTAGTTCTCAGGATCAGGTCTTCAGTGAGATCCGGGTTCATGTCATGGTAAAAGGTCATTTGCTTCCTGACTCTGGCCCCAAAGCCATCCAGGAGAGTTGTCAGTGCCCACCATCTCACGCAGATATCTAGTTTTAGTCTGAGGTTAGATGTCGGTCTTTAGTGAAACTTCAAGTTTAAAGGAATAGACCTCATCATTATCACCTCGACATTCTTTGAGAAACATCAAAATCTGCTCCTGAAAGTTAATTACACAATTATTTAATGAACAATGGTGATATCACATTATAGAATGTAAGTAGGTTACAGTTGTGTCTTCCATGAATAGTGTTTCAAGGGTCACCAATCATGGCACCAGAGATACTAGAAGACAGTTGCCAATGCACATCCACAAGGCCCTGCAAATGGGATCATGGGAAATGCAAGGGACAAGAAAGGGGGACAAAATGCAGAGTCAGGAATATATAAGATGTGTTAATTCAGAGTGATGGAGTCAGATGTTGGTGGGTGGGAGTCCATAGGGAGCAAAGTGCTTAAGCAGAAAACTGGGATTGTATAGAAACCAAGCTGTTGCCCACGTGGTTCAGCTAAGGGAATCAAGGCTATAAGGCTGAATCAGAGATGACACGTGAGGTCGCTGAGAATAGAGTAAGAGGTAAATAGAGATTTGTGAGTAGGGGATCCACAGGAGCTCAGGTCACCTGTCCCATCCCTGGGACCTGTCTGTAAAGTGGGTGCTGGGCTTTTGATCCCCAGTCGTGTGAGATCCAGCAAGGCTTGGGTCACCTTCCTTGGGTCGTTGGAACATGTCCTACTCAATGGAAAAGGCATAGCAGTGGACACAGGCCCTGTTGTAAAAGGAGAATATGGCAGCTCATTTGGTGCTATAGCAGAAGAACAGAACTAAGTGGACAACCACTCCAACTTTGAAAGCAAAATATCCAAACAACTTCGACAGACCCTCGGAATATGTACACATTGAGATTCTGAGTTGAGATGAGGTGGCACTTCCACATCCCTGAGTATTGGGAAATGTGGGAAGTCAAGTGTAGTTTCCCCCTTTTGCCTCTTCCCTATCCTCAGAATCAACAAGAAGAAATAGCAAAGTTGCAAGCAATGAGTACACTCAATTTTCCCTAAACCCCATTCCCCCAGACACTCACCTCACAGTCAGGCCCCATGATCTGGGCCAGGCAACCCAACCCCACCAGTTCTTGCTCCCTGGGGATTTGTAATAAAATGTAAGCGTTACATACGTAGCTGTTTTACTGCATTACGTAGAGAATAAACAAGTAAAAATGTTCCATGTAGACACAATTATTCTTTCAAAGAATTTTTTGACCAGTTAAAGGAAGCTTCTGTTATAAGACATCACTTGGTGATTTGAACATCAGGCATCAGACTGCCAGCCAAGAGGTCTTCCCAAGCATGAACCATCCCAAGTTTTCTGTTCTGTGTAAGACACACTGTACCTCAATTAAAGCTTTGCAAAACATCAAACAGACCAGATTTACCACCAGAAGTATGAATTGGATTTCTAGCAACCCCAACAAACAGAACTAGTTTCACAAAAATAAGTGAGACAAAAAAAGAAATATGAAACGTGATATTCCTAAATATACATGCACTTAAGACATATACTTGTGGTTAAAATAAATTAAACCCTTGAAGATCATCTAAGCATGCAAATATCTCTTTTTCCATTATTTTTTACAAATGCATGAGTCCCTGAGGAAAGGTGGCTTTTGCACAATGCTACTATTTCATTTTCTTCATGGCAATGCCAAAAATCCAGGACTTGAGGCCTATGCAAATGCACTATGACAACATATTTTATTTTCCTCTAAATTATACCCTCATCTATGGTAGTATTTGTAATGTACACTTCCTGCAATGCTTTCTGCAAGCAGGTGGGCAGGAAGGAGGACCTGATCTTCATTTGTAGACCAAAGACAAAGTCACACTTTGGGAATGGAAAATGTTGGACCAACAATAGAAACATGTTGCATTTTGGTGACTTCTTTTTATTTCCAGAATTACTGGTTTGCAATGACTCTTGTGTGGGTCAAGTGACTGCCAACTGATGCCCCCAAGGAAAGACTGTGACTAGATTTCCTGAACAAATGTGGCCATTGGAGATACCATAGCTCCTTGAATGCAGGCATTTGCAGCAGATGTAGAATTTTTTTTTTCCAAATGAACTAGGAGCATCAGAATTTTCACTGGACCCAGCAGCTATTGGTGCACATCCATGTGGGTTGGAGCACCAGGAAGAGCCCCATGTGTTGCAGACAAGGATATTGGCTGGGTATGTTTTGCAATTAGTGTCACAGGCATGGAAAACTGCTTGAACATACTCACATACATACGTGTGTTTCTGTCTGACAGCTGAGTAAATAATTGTGTTCTTGGCACCCTAGGCTTCCACTGCGTGATGGAACAAAAAAGTTACAATTAATCCAGACAGCAAATAACATATTCATGCATAATTAAGATCTGACTTACTTCTCTGGCTCTCTCATTTTTTTTTTTATTGTTGTTAACATTGTATTATGTGATACAGTTTTATAGGCACTGGGGATTCCCCCCACCCCTCCCATACCCCTCGCCCCATGGTGGATTCCTCCACCTTGTTGCATAACCACAGTTCAAGTTCAGTTGAGATTCGTTCCTTGCAAACACATATCTAGCATAAAGTCCAGCGTCTTATTGTCCAGATAAGTTCTGTGGCCTCTTGGGGAGACCTTCTCTAGTCTGAAGATAGGGCTAACAGAGTAAAGATCCGGTCAGTTAAAAGCCCCAACAAAACCTCAGTATCAATATACAACATTATGGAATTAATTGACATAGTATTGGGTAAACAATATGTTAAAAATAATGCAAGTTCCATTCTTCGAAACATCTGGGTTGAGACAGTATCAATGACAGGTTCAAAAAATAACAACCAAACAAAAAGTTACAGGTTAAATCAAGGCAAACATGTGGTATCTAACCTTTTGGGATTCGCTCATTTCCCTTAGCATCATTTTATGTCAATTTAAAAAATACCTGAGTTAGCACTTTTTTCCCCCCTGTTCTTATTATCTTCTCAGGGTTCCAAACTAAGCCAGGCTGAGTTTGCTATCATCCATTACTTTCTTTGTCCTTCTGAACCACAATTGCCTTCCTTGACAGTATGATTCTAAATGAAGAAATAATCAATGTGGCTGAAATAAAGCTTCTATAGTTGTATTTGGTTGCAGAATGAATGTATTTGCAAAATGGGAAAAGACAGGTTCAGCTAGAGACTGAACACATGTTTGCGTTTTCTATGGCAATAAGATAGCGAGTACTTCCAGTCCAGTGTATTTGAAGGTGGTGCCTTTGACTGAGACCTGCCTCACACCATTCACGGTGCTTGTAAATATTGTGATTTCATGGTAATATCCAGGTCAGGGGACAAAGAGGCCACTCTGACATTTCAAGTTACTGTTGGATTTTGCAGTAGATTTTTCTGATGGGTTCAGCTTCTGAGATGAAACCTGGATGGCAATTCTTCCTGCCAGTGAAATCTCTAAGATACAGAAAATCTCAAAAACAGTTCTTTTGGTGAAAATGTGATATATGATTTTGATTTTTGTGTTGTCATCAATATCTTCTCAGGGTACGTTCCTTAGATTTTGTCCTCTAGAAACTTCCCTGTATATTGCTGCTCACTCATTTTAGTTAAGGCTAAAATATCACCTGTTCCTGTAGGCCTCTATAAACAATAGAGAGGAGTTCGCATCATATTTTGCAAGCATACTCCATGGCAAATTCAATGTTGAAGTTCCATGTTGAAGTTTCCATGCTTGTGTGCCATACCGACGTTGACCCAAAAATCGGTCTCCTTTTTTTCTGTGATGGATCACAGGTAGTCTTGGTTGCTGTCCACTGTTGATTCTTGATGCAATGCTGCCAGCTGGATCCTGTGACACATTTCCTCATTCATGGGATGGATTAGGGTATCTATCTGGGGAATAAATACAGCCACTGTGAATCCTCACTCTCACAGTGAATTCCTCCATCTCGCTCACTTACCAGTGCACAGCCAAACACACCTGCTCAACATGAAGCTGGTCGTGGTCTTCATGCTGGCTGCCCTCCCTCTTTACTGCTATGCAGGTGAGTTCTGTGCATGGACGATTGCCTTGGGAATAGTCATTGGTACCAGGCCTACTGAAGATGACTTCCACATCTCTAATCCCCAGGAGGCTATGCTAGATGCTTAGCATTTATTCCAGACTCTCAAAGAGATGCTTCTCTCTTTGCATTGCTTTGCATTCTAGGTTCACGTGGTGTTTGATTTTAAAGCAGGGTGTTCTACTATGTTCACAACTTCTGTGATAACCAGGGTGGATTTCAAGGGGAGACAATTGGGATTCTATATTTCAGTAGGTAGAGGAGAGAGAAGAATGAAGATCTTCTTTTTTCCATCTCAGTTGGTTTCTTGTAGGGTGCAATGATGAGTCTCCCTACTGTGGAGCAAATCAGAAACCTTGGAGAGAAGGCAGAGGCCAGCGTGGGAGATGGGATCAGACCTTTGCATTCCTTTAGAGGCATTTTATACCTTGAATATCCTTGTCTTCCTGTTGTATCTATAATTTCTGCTTTAGGGAGTAGGATTCATTGTAATAGCTTATGGTAAAGTAGAAAAGCAGATTATTCATGCAGTTGTGGCTTTGGTTTGTTCTAAGGGGAGTCAGAAGTGCAGGCTCTGAGTAACAGGTTTTGCTTGTTCAATGTGAGCTGTGTCCATGAGTGACATATTGGACTGATGTGCTGCAGTTTGTGGAAACAAAAGATCCATAGTTGCTTTAGGTGTGTGTCTCTGAGTTGAGTGTCAGCAGTCAGTGTCAGTCTCCGTGGTGAACATGATAGACAGGGCCTTGGTGGCCAGGAAGTCCAGGTGGCTGTCCTTCTCCTTCTGGCAAGTCTGAGTGGTTTAAGGGCTGGTGGAACCAGTGATGCTGTTCTCGGGATATAGGGTAAGGATGGACCATTCTTCAGTCCCTGCTAGCAGTGTGCACCTGGTGCGGTGGCTTCTAATACCCACATTCCTCCTTCTAACGACTCGGAGATGAGAAGTGAAACCTATCCCAACCCTACCCATGGCTCTACCCAAAAGTAGATTCCAGTGCCACTACTAAAGTTAGAATGGATTGTTTGAGAAGTCCTTATATTTCTGCTGATTTTTAATGAACTGTTGCAGCTCACGGTAGTGTGGCTATCCCTCTTGGATTTCTTCAACGACATCTCATTTCTTGAGATTCCTAATTGAATGAGTTTGCATGAGATTTTGTTCTGCCTGGAACTGTGATGGAGAAGAAACAGACAAGCTTGGTGTAAAAGGTGCCCAGGGTCCAAGTTTATTCTCCCAACGCTGAGAACTCTAGAACAGATCCTCTAAGTTTTCCAGATCCTTGTCTCTGGGTTGGATGTGAGAAAATGATGAACACTGCAGCCATTCCCACCAAATGAGTTCTTGTCTCTGAGAACAAGCCTGTTTTCTCCTGATGCCTTGCAGGTTCTGGCTGCCAATTGCTGGAAGATTTGGTGGGAAAGACACTTGATTCCTCTGTGTCTACAGATGACTACAGAGAAGTTCTGAAAGATTACATCGATAATCCACTGGACGAACTAGCCGTAAATGAACTCAAAGAGTGTTTTCTCAGCCAGTCCAATGAGACACTGGCCAATGTTGGGGTGATGATGGTAAGCTGTTTTCTTCTTGTTGGCTTTCAAGTCAATTTCTTGGAAAGAATAGGCAAAAAGCTTCTTCCTGATAAAGGCAGTCACTCTAAGCTTCATGTAATTAAACGATGTAGTGAGTCTGCTGTCTCTGTCCTCAAGTGATCTTCAAGATCCCAAGGCTGATTTGTCCTTATGGGAATCCTAGGTGAATAACACAGGCAAAAGGTAGAAATGCTCAGAAAATGGTATCAGCTCCTGGGTTCTACAAAACACGTAGGCTGATGCACACACCAGGTGATGAGCACTCAGCTGACTGGAAACACACAGGACCACACACAAACACACACACACACTCACACACACACACACACACATGCATTTGAGCATTACCATGGTAATATTTATGGTGGTCTTGTTTGGGAGGTAATGTATAAGTAGCATTATCTCTTTGATATCAATGAACAATCCCTGATGTTAGAACTTTTCAGGAGATAATCTGAGTCTGCTTACAACACTTTGTGGATATTTACAATAGTTGAAAAATGTAGAAAAAGTAAGTAGAAAAGCCTTCATTGTGAATATTTCACTTTGTAAAACAGTTGAGACTCTTTTTGAAAAAAAAAAAAAGGTTTGTTGTTATTACTATCATCTATGTTCTGGTTTTATAGATAGAAGTGTCCCCATTCCACATTTCTTCTCCCTCCTCGTGTCGGACCTTCCTCCTTACTTTCTCCTTTTTCACAAAAGTATACCATGTAATAATGGTTACAAGTTTAACATTCTGATATCTGAGTTTTCATGTCATTGTAGGTGTAAGCAAATGTATAAAATCTAGTATCCTATTGTCAAGGCATATGGAACTGATACAGTGGGAGTCCTCATTTGTTCAGGGATAGCGATATGTATGGCAATGTCTAAGCACCATCTCTGTTTTATTTTCCAGGAATCCATTTACAACAGTTACTGGTGTAAGCTCTTTTAATTTCCTGCAAGATGGCTGACCCAGAGAACAACACACAGTGATCATTCTTTTCCCATCGTGCCCATTCACCTAGAAACTGCAAGACAATTGTTGAAACCTCAAGTGCATTTTGATTTCAATAAACTGCAGAAACTTAGGTTGTTGTTGTTTTTCATGACAGTGTAAAATTGGAGGCTACTGGGGGTTCACAAATCTCACACAGTTGTGGAGACATGCCCTTGTGCCCATGAGTAGTCACTGAAGGACACAGAAGTACAGGAGTGGAGGCTATGCCAAGCAGCCTCTCTCTCACAGTGGGTCTCTAGGGTCTGGGTGCTCTCTGGAACTTTGCTTGCCATCATCATCTTATATGTGATCATCTGAAGCCTTCAGCCCTGCTGGTTCTAAAGGTGGATGTGTACAGAACCACGTGGCCACCACAGTCTCTAAGCCCATTCAATCTCTCCATAACGACCCATATTTCGTGAAAAGGAGAGAATTGTGGAAGGGTTCCCCGGAACTCATCTTGCTCTTTCTCTTTGTCAGCTCAGTTACTGAAACACTGAGTCGGAAGGCAAGGCAAGGGCAGTATGGAAGATTAGAGTAAGGTGTGTGCAGAAGAAACACATGCTTCTGGCTGCAGTGCCAGCAGAGGGAAACAGGCTTAGGCAAACACTGAATCACATAGCAGGAGAAGTTGTGTCTGAATAGCACCAGTGCTCAAAGATGAAGGGAAAATGTGGCAATGTCTGGGGGAACGGAGGTTTTAAAAAATAGAATATCCTTCCTTGCCTTGTCCTTGTTGATGATGCCAAGAATTGAGTCATTTCCTCTGTGTATTTGGATCACCAACCTCCAAAACCGTTTGTGACCTAGAGAGTAAAGATATTAGCTATGCTAACTGACAAGCTATGTGCCTATCCACTTTCCCATCCTGTTCATGTAGAGCTTGTCTTTGATTGTCAAGGGCTTTGGTGACATACCTAAGTTCAGGTGCATGTTGGGGAACTAACAGTCTTCAGCTTCAGATCGGAGCCATAAACCTCCTACCTGCTACCAGTTATTGGCATCTGTACCATCTGTATATATGCAGTAGAGCTCTAGGATCCTGAGATCTCCTCTCTCTTGTGGAAGTGCCAGGATCCTGAGAGACCACATGGAGTCAGGGATATACCAACGACAACATGTTGGTACCAAACTGCTCCAGGTGGACTTGCTCCTGTTGAAATTACCTAGAAAATAACCTCATTTTTTTTTTCAGAGAGCTATGTGTATCACAGATACTATTCACAAATATCAGCTCAGATTGATAATGAAGAGAGCGTTGCATTCTATCCTATTTCACTTTGAAACACTCTGCTTGAAATCCTCCACTTCCTGACTCTGAGAACATTCTCTCTGTCCCATAATCAGATTCCTATTACGTGTGGTATACCAACTTTGTTTTCCTGGAAACCACGCTGGAGAGAAAGGTGAGACATAATAAGCCAGTGTTACAGAAAACCTTGGGAGAATCTCATATGAGTAGAAGCATTAAGACACATACGGTGTCATTCTTGTGTTCCTAACAATGTCAGAGGATCAGAAGCTCAGAAACAGTGTGTGTGCCTGACTCTAAAGCAATGTGTCATAGGCTGAGTTCTATCTTCAGCACACTTCCCCCAGTCTCCTTGATGCAGTGCGACACCATTTCATACGCTGGGGTGTAGGCAGAGAAGTGATCTCAGGTTTTGGATGGATCTCAGTGCTGAGTACGACTCATGCCTGATCAAACAAAGATGTCTCTATCCAGGCCAGGGCTTAGAGAGAGAGCTTCTACATTTCCCTGGGCTTCAGGTGGAGACCTGGGCCATGGTGACAGGGACTCCTTTCCATGTGTGTATGTCAGCTTTCTCATGGCCCTTGCATGCATCCTCAAGGTTCCTTGGTGTTTGGTGATTATGATTCAGGTGTGACCCACTTTGTTGCTCAGCCTAGGTGGCCATGGCCCTGCCTCCATCAGGTGCCCTGATTTCAGACAGATCTAAGCCAGAACATGCTAGTGCTTTGTTCATGCCCTTTCTTTCCCATCCTGCCTTTTAATGTAGAAATTTCAAAAAATTGTTGAAACCTCAAAAGCTTTTTGATTTCAATCAATTGAAGAAAGATAAGTTGTGTTGTTTTGCATTAATGTGTAAAAGGGGAGGTGTCATGCACTTGGCACTAATCTATAATCACTGAAGAACTCAGAGGAACAGAACTGGAGGCTCTGAAAAGCATCATCTTCCTCATCCAGTGTTGTGGCATGTTGGGCTTCTCTGGACCACATTTCCATGTGTCTCACTGATGGAAATTTCCACTGAAAAGCTGAAAATAAACAAGGAACACTCTGAGCAGTAGAAGCGGAGAAGACAGGCATGACTGAATCACACAAGAGCCAGATGCCCATGGTGAGCCTCCATCCTACGTCATCAAGACAGGAAGTTCTGCCACTTGCAGTTGTAGCTGAGAAAGAGTCTCAAGGGCACTAAGAGACTCTGACTTGAGCCTGGCACATGACTGGAGCCTAAGCAACTGCTTGGCTTGAAGCAGGCAAGCCACCTGGCTTGGTTCTCATCTCTCACTCCTGTGCTGTTGCCCAGACAGCAGTGAAAACTTGGACAGTACTTGTCTGATGCCTCCTGTGAGTGTCAGCACCAGCGTCAGCATCAGGAGCAGACTGTAGTGGCCCCTATGACTGGTGATACTGCCTGAGTGAGAACTTTGTGAACCACAGGGTCTTGGGTCTGGTCTGTAGAACTAGCACACAATGTGGATACCACCAAAATTCATGGACTGAGAGCTCATTGGCAGCTTCCCATCATCTGCCCTCCCACAAATGCCCCCAGGTCCATCTTCTGGCAAGTACGGGATATCACACATTCTTGCTAATATCACTATGTACTTTTATTTCAGGGCCAGCCCATGGTTCCTGCCGCCCCCCTCCCCCCCCGCTCCAGCTTGGAATCTGGCCTGGAGAGTAGGGAAGGGATGAGCAGATCACTTAACCTGACGAGTTCCCCCAAACCCGCTAGGTCATTCCATCTGCCATGAGAGAAGACCCCCCACCAGCTATCTGGCTATGGGAATGTCCCAGCTTCCTCCATGAAGAATGAACAACACACTCCCGAAAGAACAGTGGCTCAGAGAAGAAATCAAAAGGGAAATGAAAACATTCAAAGCACAGCAAAATGTATAGCAAACACAGTGATAAGAGGTCAATTCACAGCAGTTAGTGCCTTCCTCACATAGTTGGAAAGGCATATAAAGTAAACTCACAATGCATCTCAAGGATCTAGGGAAAGAACAACAACCCAGACTCTAAATTGGTAACAACAACCACTGAAAACTTGACAGCAAATATCAGTATCTATAGGGTGAAAGGTTTTGTGGATACCAACTAAATTTGCTTCTTCTATCCTCTGGATAAGCAGTGTTGTTCCCTGGATGAGTTTCAGTATAATCAGTCTGTCCAGAAGTGATAGGGACCTTATGATGCAAACTAATATGTAATGGATTCTGTGCCTACCTTTGAATCCATTAATATCTGTTTCATTAAGCTAGGTGTCCTTGTAGTTGGTGTATCTACTTTTATTATTGTTACTTCCTCTTGTTCAATGCATCACTCAGACACTTGATGGTGTCCTTCTTTGCCTCTTTCAATGCTTTTCATGTTGAAGTATGTATTACCTAAGTATAGAATAAAATCTTATTTTTTCTTTGCATTTGCCTAAAATATACTACTCTAAGCATTTAATTTGAGTTTTTTTATAAGACTTATTTCATTTTTATTGGAAAATCAAATATACAGAGAAGAGTAGAGACAGAGAGGAAGATCTTCCTTCATTGAATTGGTTCACTCGCCATGGGGCCTCAATGACTTGAGCTGTGCCAATCTGAAGCCATGAGCCAGAAGGCTGGATCCTCTTTTGAGTCTCCAATGCAGGAGCAGCGTGCCAAGGCTTGGGCCGTCCTCGACTGCTTTCCCAGGCTACAAGCAGGGAGCTGGATGGGAAGCAGGGCTGCTGAGATGAGACTCAGTGCCTATATGCAATCCCTGTGTGTGCAAGGCAAGGACTTTCACATCTAGGCTACCTTGCCTGGCACCTCACTTTCAGTTTTGATGTACCTTTCTGTATGAGCTGTGTTTCTTGTATGTAGCTGTAATATAGGTCCTGTTTTTGATCAAATGGTTCCTGTTTTTGCATGCCTTTTGATTGTAGACTTGAAGCCCTTTACATTCAGGGCTAGTATAGTTGGTCCAGTCATTTTAGTATTGGATTTATTGTTGTTTGATTGAAGATTCTTGAGGTTTTATGGAGCCATTCTCCACTTTGGTCTTCTTCAGCTATGCTAAGCATCATAATTTGTTTCTGACTGTAGCATATCTTTATTCAGGAATTTGTTACACTGGTCTGTAGTGGTGAATTCTTTTAGTTTTGCTTGCTTGGAAGTTTAGTAATTCCATTTTTTTTTAAAAAACAAAGGAGACATTTATTATGTATGTTCTTCTGGTTTGGCAGATCTTGCTTTGGTATTCAGGAATAGGTCATCCTGTTTCTTTCTTGCCTGTATAGTTTACACTGAGAAGTTGACTGTGAAATCGATTGGTGCTCCGCTAAAAGCTGCCTGACATTGCTTATTTGCTATTTTAAGTATCTTTTCTTCGTGTTCAAACTAAGTGCATTTGATTAGTGCACTTTCTGGAGAGGATTACTTTTGGTTGAGCTTACTCTGTGGTCTCTGTGGCACCTGGGAATTGAGTGACAACGACCATGGCAACTGTGTGAATTACAGGATTGGCATCCATTTCTCTGTTGGTGCTCTCCTCTCCGCTCCTCGTGTGAGGTATATATGTATATAGTTGTGCTCTTGGAAGAACCTACTAGCAGCTACTTAGGGAATAAGCAGAATCAATTTTAGATGAAGCCCATGAGATGCCAAGGTAATCTTCTTTTCTAATTGTTGATGGGGTTCCACTTACTATTGTGGTATCTGCTGCACATCTGTTCCACTGCTGCTGCTGCATTGTTCCTGCTGCTTCATCAAACCCCTGGGTCCCAAGGTATCTGCTTTGCTGGCCTTCCCAGTCCTTTCAACTGTGATCAGGTGTGTAAAACCAGCATCATGTAACCTGGCAAGGGCTTGTAGTTGTCTAGAAAGCACATGAGCCCTCTTAAACAAACCACAGATGCAGATATGAAGTACTTCCTAGGTGAAGGCATGGAAATGAATTCTGAGGTCAACTTGGGTAAGGGTTGAGTGCAAGTATTTAGGGCACTTGTGATCATACGGGTGTTGTGTGTGAGAAAATAAATGGGGCCAGCACATTGGCTCAATGGATAATCCTCACTTTGCAAGTGCTGGGATTCCACATGGATGCTGGTTTGTGTCCTGCTGCTCCACATCTGATCTGACTTCTTGCTTATATCCTGAGAAAGCAATTCCCAAAGCCTTGGAACCCTGTCTCCATGTGAGAGACCTGGAGGAATGTCCTGGCTCCTGCTTTGGATGGGCTCAGCTCTAGCCATTGTGGCCATCTGGGGAGTGAACCAGCAGATGAAGAATCTCTCTCTCCCCTTCTACCTGTAAATCAGATCTGGGATCCAGTTTTTTTTTTCTAGTTTTTCTACAAAGTTTTTGCTTCAAGACAGTTAATTTGCACTTATTTTTTATTTTTCCGGCCTCCATTCTCTTACTGTTCCTAGATTGATTTCACCATCTGGAAAAGAAATTCATCGTTATTTCACCTGCTTTAATGTGATCTAACACTTCTCATGTGGCCTAACATGTGGTCACTGCTCAGGAACAGTCCTTATGTTGGTGAAGACTTTTGTCGTGCCATTCCTCAAAGCAATATCTGCATATGTCAGTCAAGTCCACTTAATCCACAGTGCTGTTCAAGTTCAGTTTCCCTACTGACCCTCTAACTGATGCCCTATGACATCTTAAGGATTGCTTAGTTAGTGAAAGACCAATTAACTGAGACAGAGAGAGGGAACAGAGAGATATTTTGCCCCGTGATTCACTCCCCAAATGCCTACATTAGCTAGAGTTTGACCAGAGCAGCCAGCAGCCAGGATTCCCATCAGGCTCTTCCAGGGGAGGAGCAGGAACCCAACTGCTTCTTCCATCAAGTGCTGGGATTCCAGCTCATTCGCAGAAAGCTGAATTAGAAGTTAAGGGCCAGCTGGGACGTGGACCAAGCACTCTGAGACTTGAGCACCAGAAGCAGCAGCAGGAGTCGCTCAGCCTTGTCAGCACCTGCTGCTCCATAATGACTGCAGTCTCCTATCACCAATGTGTTGATTTCCATATCCCCTTCCTGTCTGTGAACACTTGTTTCATTTATTTTATGGCTCTGATATTGGATGTCATTTATAATTGGTCTGTGTTTCTGCTAGAGTGACACTTTCATTATCTATTAGGTACTTATCTCCTTTGGCAATGTTGGAAGTAAAATTCACCTGGATCAGGCATGATGGCAAGTTATTATAAGCCTCCACTTGCAGTGCCAGTATCCCATATGGACACCAGCTCAATCCTGGCTGCTACACTTCTATCTCACTCCTTTTTCTTGCACCTATTAAAGGAACAACAGATATTCACGTTTGTGCCCAATCACACTATCCAAGAACCAGGAGAATCCCCAGGCAGCAGTGGATCCTTGCACCTCACCTGGAAGATATCTGCCCATCTCCCAGCTCCAAATCTCAGATCTGGCCCAGACATGTGACACCCTACCAGCCTCAGCAGTACATGGAAACCAGCACAGGGAAGATGAAGAGTGAACCAGCACAGGGAAGTACTCTCTCTCTCTCTGTCTCTCTCTTGTCTCTCTCTCTCTGCCTGTCACAAACACACACACACACACACACACACACACACACACACACACACACACACACACACATTTTCTCTCTCATCTTCTTAGCTCTATCTTTTCTTGCATTATTTCTCAGTTCTGTGTTTTGTTGCCTTTTACATTTACTCATAACACATAGGATAATGATAGGCTGAGGATTGCCCCATCAGAATACATCCACATCACAAACATTGGAATTGAAAACAAACACACAAAAGTCATCAAAAAGGCAAAAAATTATTACAACCACCATTACCTCAGAGTAAACACCATCACACAAATACAAGACAAGTGAGATGCAGTAAAAATCATTTATTCCAGCAAGACATTGAAACCTCTACAGATTGAGTGAAACTCAGGCGGTCCTTGAAAGATGGTGGGACACCAGATCACAAACTTGCTTGCATCTCATATGCCACATTTAGCCAAGACTTTTCCCTGAAAAGGAAAATGATGGAGAGAATGAAAGACCAGTTATATTGATCATGGGGATGATGCGTTAACACAACAAAGACGAAAATGGAAATGTTCTGACACACAGCAATTTAGAAGCAGGAAAAGGAAGAATGATCTGTGTGGGAAATGAGAGCACGGTCCTGATGCAGTTATAACAAACCATGCTTTTGGCAGCTGCCCCTGTAAGCTGAACTCTGAGGGAGTGGCTCAAGTCTCTTTGGAGATGGGAGGGTGAAGGGATGAACCGAGCAGCTGAGCAGAACTTTTCTGGGATAATCTCCAAAGACTGTGGATTCCACAACATCTGTTACTATATTCAAAAATGCCCAGCCTCCCTGGGTGGAAATTCTGCCTTATGACACATGCACTTCTCTGCACTAAGACTCCAATTGCTATGAGCCTTTGATGTTGTACTTGATAAGCAAAACCAAAAGTGGAAGGGCAGGGAGATCTTTTGTCAACATCTATATTCTCTATTAAGACATCTGTAAGTGTTCCAACTTCACATGGCCAGCAAGAGCTGCTGCATTAGCCTCTGATCTCAGGCCATGATAAGCAAGACTCTTCAGTCAAGGGAAAGGAAAATGTATTCAAAGAGATCGACATGCTCTCCTGAGTGCTGAAGACAACTACTGCTGTACGCTACGAGACACATAGCTCCATTGACTTCCCCATTCTCTGTCCATATGTGAACTCTCCCGCCCCTGCAAGACTCTCCATGAGAGACCACCATGATGACACACGGTGTTTGTAGAAGTCACCATTTGGAAGACCCTGGGGCATGAGGGCAGCCTTGTTTTTCCCTTAATTGTCCCTGATTCTCTACCATGTTTTGCCTCTTTTGGGATATAGAGGGCCATGTGGAATTCCAGGACAGTCCCCAGTGAAGCAAGGACATTCCCAAGATGTTGTGGACATGAGTCCAGTTCAGGAAGTATTCATGTAGCATCCACCTGCTGAACTGGGCTTCCCAACAAGCGGTGAGCAGTCAGCCAGCTGCCCCACAACAAGTGCTGTGTGCTCCCATACAGCAGTAAGCTGACCTCATTTCTGGCTGTGAGAATGAGCAAAAACTCCCATTCACAGAGGCAAAAAAAAAAAAAAAAAGAAAAGATTACCAGGATTTTTGTAATGCGCAGTCTGTTGTCAAGGGCTATCTGGTCCGTGCATTTCTTCACTGTCAACTTTGCAGCAATAGCTTCCGTAGGAGCATCAAATTTGGCAAGCTTTAATTTGAATAAGGCCTCAGGACCCAGGAGGAAATTTGACATGTCATCAGAAACGGCCGGACAGACCAATGCATTGGCTGAAACAAGAGAGTAGAAATACAGAATATGTCACAAGTCCTTTTCCCATGACTCCAAGGCCTCAGTAGACAGAATAACCACAGTCTGAGGTGTTCATGCTGTTATTGTGCTAAGAACAAAACACTGCTGTAGGCATCTCTTCTCCCTACACAGGGAGCACTCCCAGGGGAGCAGTTAAAGTACCTTGACTATATAATAGTAGATTTTCTTCACTTCTCTGTACTACAATGATGACAAGATGCACTTAAGTAGCAGAAGGCTAAACTTGTAGCAAATATCAAAGGAGTAAACTACTGAAGAATATGGGGAAAAACAGTTGGAAGGGAAACTGAGCAGGAAGAATGGGCAGAATCAGGGCAACATGTCTACCTACAAAAATGTATCATGAAGAATGAGTTAAAAAGCAAGAGACTGTGCTTTGGGTCCTCCATGATGTCATGTCAGCATCACAAAGCCAATGGCACTTTTCTGATCACTCCTGTAGTTTTAAATATTTAAGTTTCACTCACTGCTCCTCCAAAGTTTTCTGGTTTGAAAAAATTCAACTTCCTGAAACTTTTAAAAAATATCTAAATCTGTTGAGAAGAATTTTGGAAATCAAAAATTAATTTAAATAAGGGATAGGGGTAGTATGAGCAGATTTGGAATGTAAATCCAGACAAGAGCAAGTAAAATTGTTACAATGTTTATAGGTGAAAATTCTGATACTTGGGCATGGTACCATAGCATAGTGGCTAAAGTCCTCATCTTGCAAGTGTCCCTCATCCTTTATGGGCGCTGGTTCTAATCCAGGCGGCACTGCTTCCCATCTAGCTCTCTGCTTGTGTCCTGGGAAAGCAGTAGAGGACGGCCTGAAGATTTGGGACCCTGCACCAGTGTGGGAGACCCGGAAGAAGTTCCTAGTTCCTGGCTTCATATTGGCTCATCTTCAGCCATTACGACCACATTGGGAATGAAACAATGGGTGGAAGAACTTCCTCTCTGTCTCTCCTCCTCTCTGTTTGTCTGTCTAATGAAGACAAGTTAATCTTTTTTAAAAGGAAGGGAAACAAAGAAAAAAGAAAGGAAAGGAAAGGAAAGGAAAGAGAAAAGAAGAGAAGAGAAGAGAAAACAAAAGAAAAGAAAAGGAAAGAAAAGAAAAACCTGAAAGCTAATTCAAGGAAATTTAACAATGCTTTTGGATATAGAATGGAGTTAAGAGATCAACATGACAGAAAATAATCAGCTTTCCCACACACTAGAAGCTAATACAATAAAAGGTGATGGGCATCTTTTTGCTGGAGTGATGGCCTAATCCTCAGAATGTGGGACAGCAATCACATCTCACACCTGACCCATTGGGGAACTGCTGGAGGACCTGGACGAACCACTTTCTGAAGGTCCTTCATGGATTGTACAACAACCTTTTCCGAGGAAGTAGCCTTACCACAATGTGACAGGATATCTAGTCAGACAATAGGAAATTAGGGGCTCAATTGACAAAGTCTCTGAAAACCATCTGAAACTACAAACCCTGCCTTGCTCACTACAGCCAGCTCCTTCCCATAACATCCAACTAAACACTACTGAAAAGAACAATCTCAAGATGAAGCATCAGGCACAGGTGGAAGAGCTGGTCAGTAGCAGAGACTAGGTTCACATACAGCCTTCCCATGAGATTTCATTGCTTCAGAAACACAGACTGAAATCAAGCCAGGATGTGCCAGACAGAATTCCTAACATTTGCCTGCCATGATTCTTCACCAAATTTCCCACGTATAAGGAAACTGATGCAAAAGAACTTGGGGCTTTGTGGTGGCTACTGCAATAAACTAAACTAAACTGAGTGTATGGATTTTGGTCCATTCCAGAGCCCAACAAACCCAAACAGGTTTGCCCGGATTCAGAGAAGAGTACTCACCAAGGGCTGGATTAGATTCCTCACTAATGATACTCACCCTCATAACAGCAAAGGGCCAGAGTGACCAGCAGGAAAATGATGGGCAGCCTCATGGTGGCTTAGTTGGCTGTGAGTGCTCAGACTCAAGGCTGTGAGAGATGGAGACTCTACTGCAGCTCCCTGGGAAGCCTCCAGGACCCAGGGCTATTTGTACCCAGAGAGCTTTATGGATCCTACCCATGTGACAGGTGGCAGGTTCCAGCTCACAGGCCTGGCTTCCAGTCTTCCTTGTCATGGTTGGGCTGATATTATCCATCACGGTCAAGATCCACAAATGTTTGCATAATCACAGAGGAGCGGCCCTGCATCAACTTGCCCCTGTCCTGTGGAGGAGCATGAGCGTAATTGGAGTCTCTTTGATTTTGAGCTTGGGATGAGTATATTTTTGTTGTTGTGTTCACCACAGAGGCACAGTGGATAGTGCCAGTCAGAGAACAGGGTCAGGGAACAGGTAGATATGCTTCCCCTTTGACACAACAGATATTAAGATCCAATATTGACCTCTCTGACTGTCAGCAATGAATATGAGTTTGGGTTGTGGATTGATCACATCTGAACAAAACTGACCAACACATTAACCTTATCCTTTGCTATTCTGTAAAATGAAAAACTTTTCTCTATTGCTCCTGCCAACACTAATGGCACAGACTGCTTCTGTCTCTCAGTGAAGTTGTCACCGCTTGCCTGATTCAAATTTCCTGTCCACTAAGAACATCTTCCTGTAGCAACAGCCATTCACATATCATGATATTGATGTGATGGCTAACCAGCTCTCTCTCTCTCCCCAGCTAGTGTGGCAGGTGTCACAAGCCAGAGGAGCAACAGAGAAGGTGAGAGTCCAGTTGTTTCTGGGCTCATGATGGGAAGTGATGGGAATGAGGGGACTGATGAGACCAAGTCTTCTGCTTCCAACTT